ACCTGGGTTATTTGCCACTTCAGTATCTTCGATGTACTATTGCTGTGTGATGTATTACTATTACTGAAGTAACATCATTACTGACGTTAGTTCCAGTGATGGGAATAACGGCGTTACTAACGGCGTTACTTTTTTCAGTAGCGGGTAATCTAATTACTATTCCTATCGTTACAACGCCGTTACCGTTAACAAGAAAATGCGGTGCAGTTGCGTTACTATTTTTCAACAAACAGACAGTTGAAGCTGTTTTCAGCTTATATCAGTTGCACGGAAGTAGCTGTAAGTAATCTGGGCGCTACAGCTTTAAGCAGCTGTGCGCTCCCGTGGGCAGCAATCACTTTCTGGCAGACGATAACTTTTTGACACAACACCTGGAGCTAAGGGGTCAAAATAATCGCATGAGTGCTGCTGTTTGACTGAATAAAGTAGTCGCGGTGAGCCAATCACATGACCACTTTAAGATGACAAAGCAACAAGGTGATAAATACCAGTTTATAAATTGTGCTGATAGGCCACGTGAAATCAGAGTCATGATAAACGATATATACGCGTGTTTTTCCTCAATAGTTTCGACACGTTTAACGTCTAAGGACAGCGCAGCGAGACCTCTCTGCTTATGAGCAAAAAATAAACAAACAAAAAAAAAAACAGGGGAAGTTTTAGGAGTGACGGCGAGAGAGAGAGAGTTTTGAGATGTGAGAGATTCGTGACGTTTAGCGTGTTTGGAGTGTGTTGTCTTGTGTAGTTAGTGTGTAGTGTTGTGGATAGTTTTGTGTTGTGTGTGAGAACAATGAGGCGACTGCTGTCTCCAGGTAGAAACAGGAGTTATACACCTGCTGCAGTCAGACCTGCAGGTATCAGGCTGTGATGTTTCCTTTATAGTGCACAGAAATAATTTTTTTGGAGTGGCACAAATAATTTGTGTGGCATCTTATTTAATGCAAAACAGCTGATTGTTGTGTAAATAGTTTGAAATGGTTATTTAAAAAATCAAGGTAAAAGGTAAATGGATGCAAATAACTTTGTTGTTTGCAAAACTTGTGCATAGGGTTTAAAAATTGACAATTTATATTTGCATTTAAAGTTATAAAATATGATTCGTTAAACATGTTTGTGGTTGTTACAGTAAAAAATATAAATTTTTCTACTCTGATTTTATGTTTTTTGTCTGATTTTAGATCAATTGTCTTAATACAGTATGTCAAAATAAAAACATAACTGTAAATTCAGACACGTGAGGTTGTGCTGAAAAGGATGAGACCAAACAAGGCAAAGTAAATCGTTTTTAAAGGTGAAATGTGGAGGAAACATCAAAAGTAGTTAAAAATGGCCAATTATACCCTGGACCCCAGAGGGTTAAATGTTGTTGTTGTTTTTTTTAAAGTAACGCAATAGTTACTTTTCAAGTAATTAATTACTTTTAGAATCTTGTAACTCAGACTTTTTAGAATAATAATTATAATGTGTACTTTATTGATCCCCGTGGGGAAATTACTCTTTCTGCATTAGTCTTTTCCCATTTACTTAGTGAAGCAGTGGGCAGCCACAAATCAGGCACCCAGGGAGCAGTGCGTAGGGACCTTGCTCAGGGATACCTCAGGGTAGTGGATTCGAACCCCTGACCTTCCAATCATGGGGCGACCACACTACCTACTGAGCTATCCCTTGCATTATTAAACCAGAGCAGGTCTTGATGATCTTAGCTGTAGCATGGCCTCTGACTTTCTATCCATTACAGACTTTTTTTATTTTATTCAGCAAGTCTCTGGACCCACCCATGTTAAAGGCCACACCATAGACCTTGTGTTTTCTCTTGGCTTAGACATAACTAATGTCTGTGTTAAGGACGTACAAGTGAGTGACCATTCCTGTTATTTTTAATCTTAGCTCCCCTCTGTACACACCACCTTCTAATCTCGTGTTCCATAAGCGGTTCATAAATCAGGATGTTGCTTTGAAGTTTTCTAATTTGTTGGACC